GGAAGGCTAATATCTGATAATTATGAGATGGCTGGGTTATTCAATTTGTCTTTTTTGTTGGTTTTTACTAACAAAGATTTAAGCAGTACTCCATTCTTGAACAGTTGATAAATGGAAGTGAGGTCAAACAAGATGACTGCATTAATTCTGAGTCAGTTAAGATTAAATTGGGAAGTTTAAAAAATGATAAGGCTCCTAATATTTTGCTAAGGGTTTTGGAGGAGGTTAAAGATTGGATATGTAAGCCACTTACTACTATTTTTTTGTCAGTCCTTCAATAGTGGGTAGTTACCAGAGGATTGGAAGTTAGCTAATATAACTCCTCCTTTCAAATTATCCCAGTAATTACAGACCCATTAGTCAATTGTGGGAAAAGTTCTGGAAAGTTGTTAAAAGATGCTTTGCAAGTCATTTAAGAAAATTTAGAATTTTATTGGATAGTCAACATGGTTTCACTAAAGTAAAATCTTGCCTTACAAATCTTTTTATGTTCTTTGAAAAAGTTATTGCTTATGTAGATGAGGCTAAGGGTTTAGATTTGGTGTATCTGGATTTTCAGAAAGCATTTGACAAGGTGCCACATAAAAGGCTTGTAAAAACAATTATCTCTATAGGTGTAGGGGATGAGTTAGCCACTTGGATAAAAGAGTGGCTGGATGGAAGAAAGCAGAGGGTTGTTACAAATGGAGTTCAGTCAAACTGGATTAATGTCACAAGTGGGTACCTCAGGGTTCAGTCTTAGGACCTTTACTCTTTTGGATTTACATCAATGACATATAATGAAGGAATAGTCAATAAATTACTTAAATTTGCAGATGATATTAAGGTGTTGCTAGCTGTGAAGAAGATGCTGCTAATTTACAAAATGATTTAGAGCATTTAGTGAGTTGGACAAATAAATGGCAGATGTGTTTTAATTATAATAAATGCAAGATAATGCATGTGGGTTATCATATTTGAAATATAAGTATAATTTGGATGAGAATAATATTACGACAGTGGAAGTCGCGTGACGCTGGGAGCGTGCGTGCTGGAGTTTCTAGAGTTATCGGGGAACCTCACGAATGTCCGAGTGTTTGCTAGACACCCTCTTTTTTAGTATATATAAGCCTGGTGAGAAAAACCAGTGCAATGGCAGAGATAGATAGAGTGAAGAGATAGATGAGTCCAGCGAACAGTAGGCACCGTAAGTAAAGTGTGTGAATCACTGTGATTTATAGCATGTGTTATAAAGGTGGTTAAGTTTAAAGTGACTGTAGAAATTCTGTGTATTACAAAAAGTTTGTATCAAAAAAGAATAAGCTAGTTTTATTCAAGAAGGGACTTGTATCGCTGAAGTTCTTCGGAAAGAAATTATACCGGAAATTAACAAACAAGCAGATACATAACAATAACATTAACAGTGTTATGAAGGAAAGGGATCTTAGTGTAATAGTCGATTAGTCTCTAAAGCCATCCAAACAGTGTGCTGTTACTAGTGGTAGAACAAATAGGATTTTAGGTGGTATCTACAGAAATATTGAATACAAGTCTAAAGAGGTAATAATTTCATTGTACATATCACTGGTTAGGTCAAATTTGAAATACTGTGTTAATAAGTCTTGAGCTCTTTACCTTATGAAAGACATTGAATTGTTGGAAAAGGTTCAGAGAAGGGTTATTAGAATAATGCCTGGGATAAATGGGTTGTCATACAAGGAGAGGCTAAAATCTCTCAAATTGTTTTCTTTTGAAAAAAGAAGAGTTAGGGGGATATGATTGGGGTGTTTAAGATTGTAAAGGGAATTGATAGTGTTGTTGCATCATCTTTTTTCATATTTAACAGTGAGAATAGTTAGGACTAGGGGACTCAAATATTCATAAATAGGTCCCATGTTGTCCCAAAACATTATGTTATGTTACATGCTTTGGAGATGTATGGTCTTAATATGGTAATGCTTTTTTGGATATTTGGCTCTTCATTACCTTTGTGGCAGTGTCTAAAATTTTGACAAAAAGAGGATGTTCTACTACAAATTATTTAAGATAATATCAAATTTTCTTCTTTATACACATTAAAATAATCTATATATTATTAGTGCATTTGGTAGAGAGAATGTAAGTACTATCATTCAGCATAAGTATTGTCATAAGAACTTTATTTAATATTAATGAATCACGAAGGTGCTAGTAAAGTAAAATAACCATAAGCTACTCTGGAATGGCATTATCACTTTAGACTTTAGTTTTATTTCCTGTTTCCCTACCTTTCTGTATCACAAATAAAGCTGACTTTTGTACAAATTGCAATGAAACTGAAGTAATTACAAGTTGAGTATAATAGGAAAATTGTAGGAATATTCTTCTTCTGATTGATAACAACATACTTTTTTTTATAAATATATAGTTTCTAAAAAATTCTCTGAATTTTCTTTTTCTTAGATCAGCTACTGTGTATGTTATCCAAAAATCTAACCTATAAACCTTTGAGTAGCTACTTATAGTGTGTTTACTTGTGACTGTTAGCATGACTATTGAAGAAGGTGACTATGTGATGTGAAACTTAATGTTTAGTTTTTTATTTATGATTCACTTAAATATAAAATAACCGAAATGATGTATACAATTACCCCAAAGAGGTAGTTTTTTAATAGTTTAACACAAGGATACAAAGTTAACTTGGGACAAAATATCTGGAAATATTTCAATTTAAAGTACTGAACTTTAAAATGACTTAACTAATTGGAAACAGTATGCGGTTGGTTGAAAAAAACCATCCCAAAGTTCTACAGAAATTATTACAGCCTGAACATTTGAAAAACTTGTTTCTTAAGAATGCCAACCATGTAATAAATAAATTTTGAACAATCAAGTCTTGCAATAAGTATATTAAACCAAAGAAAAGAAACAAATGGTTTAGTACTGTAGGACCAGCAATGTAGCAAACAATTTAAATGTAATGGTTTCAAAAGGTTTCAGTTTGTGAAATGGAAAACTGGGTTTCAAGGGAATTTCATTCTTACATATTTTAATTATCATGATAAAGTTCTTGTGCAATGTTTCTTCAGTCCAAAAAGTTTTTGACTAGTATTAACTAAATTAAATTATAACCCTTTTACTTTTTCCCCTTTCATTTTTATGCATATCTTATGGTCATACTTATGCTAACACAGTTAACTTTTTTAAGGGGCAAGTGTAAATCTGGGCAAACCAAGTATTGATTATTTCCAATTAATTGTAGTTGAGATAATTGGTAATGGTACTTATTTGTGATATTTTACCTAAACATTTAGTTTTCTGGTGCTTTAGTTCAGACACGTGATTGTTTTATTAGCTCAAGATATTTTATCTGAAGTTGTTTAGCTTTGGTGTATATACTTATGTGCTAGTTAAGATATTCTTAATACATGTATCTCTTGTGTTTTTGATTGAAGTAATTAAGATGCTAATTCAAGACATTTAGTTCCCATGTGTTTTGGGCTGTGTAATTTATTCCAGTGTTATAAATTGGTAATTAATCTTAATATTCTTTTTAATTTTCTTTATTGTGTGTAATTTGGTAGGTTTAAGTATACTTCATGTTTTCTAGATCTTGGAAATCACCCGTCAGATACTGAACCTTTATGATCTGTGGAAAAACTTTGATGAAAAGAAAGAAATTCCAGCCTTACTGGCCAAGATGCCTAAGCCTAAGGCTCAGCCGTCCAGGTAAACTTCACTGACCCCACATCTCTTCATCTTTGTTACACAGTCACACCCGATCATAGAACCACCTCGTAGTCATTCAACCAAATGTTTCTCAATCTTTCAATCCCTCAAAAAACACTTTTCATTTATTCAGTCCATTACTTTCTGACACCTTAGTTTCATAAAAGTTCATTTTAGTCCCTTATAGAATCACTTTATAGTTCTTTGGCTAAATGTTTTTGTTACTGTAATAATCTCTTTTAAATCATCTTTACTTGTATTTGCTCAAATACTTCTCAGTACTCTAGTCACTCAACATCTTGCAATCATTTAGCCAAATTCTTATTGATACTTCAGTCACTCATGAATAGATGTTTTAAATTTCTTGTAGAATTGTTCTTGAAGGAACTAGTAAATGCCTCAGTACCTAGTGGTTCACTTAATAACAACTTTCAGTTTAGCACAATTTGTTTCAGTAGTATTCCTACTTCAGACTATAATAATTTTTTCTCAGATTAAAGAGTACATTAAAATCTTTAATTGCAATTATTTACTCACAGGAATTTTGTTACAAGATCTAATCAGATTTGTACCATTCATTAGTGCAAAAATGAAGTTGTGACTCCATAATAAGTAATAACCTTTAAAACAAAATGTATTTCTTAGTAATTCATGCTTTTAATTTTTTAATCATTATACTTTAAAGTGAATCTATTCAATTGTTACCTTTTCTAATTGCAAAAGAAATCACATAACCCATCCATTTAATTATATCTTCTATGTATACAGATATATATAATCACATGGTTTTGAATATTTCAGTCATGCAGTTTATATATATATTAAGATCACAGAAAAGGTGTACAACAGAAGTTGGTTCATAACAGTTATAATTCATAAGCCTGGATTGCTGTATGGCAAAAGAAGAGAGCAAAAAGAAAAAGACATAATACTTTTCGTTTAATATTGGAGATCATTTGGAATAGAAAAATATAAAACTACAATTAATTTTTAGGTAACACTGAACAGTTACAAGAAACATGCTCTTATTATAGACAGTCTTTCATGACACATTAAGAAGTTGTATTTACTCAGTTTAGCAACAGTGCTTATTCCAACTGGTCAAAGACTTTAATGCAAAAGGGTATGTGTGTAATGTTTTATTCTTCCTCTTTCTTTACTCATAAATTTTAAGCCATTCACTGCTATAAGCTGTTACGTAGCTTATAAAAAAGTGTGGTGTATAGCTTACCAAAAAGTCCAAACGTATTATAATTTTATGGTATAAGCCTTATATTTCTTTTGCTCAAAAAGATTATTTTTACATGTTGGTATTAGTACTTTTTAACCATGCATGAATAGCATATACTTTACGGCAGGTAGAATTACCCCTTTTCGAACAACACTTTGACCTGCTGACCAAAAACTCTGCCATGGCTACTGCAATGTGTGTACTAAAGATCTCTTGATATCCTTTGGTATTTAATTCTTCAGACACTTCTTAAGTGGGTTCCATACTGAATACTGCTCACATCTCAGTGCTTTAAAACAACAGACTAGGTGAAGTGACTTTCTTCACTCTACAGACTAGAATATCAAGAATGTGGTACTGGTGGTTGTACACTAATCAGAATGGATCCAGTCATCCTTGGGGTGATTTTCAGTTTGCCTGTTCCTGTCTTTCCAAAAGTAAGCATGATAGTAGAATGCACATCTACAAGTGGCAACAATGAAATCAGCAAAAAACACTATGAATTTATGTCAAAAATAATTTCAGGCATGTTTCATATTTGTAACAAATAACACTTGAATGTTTGAAATGTTTTGACACTGCTTTTAACCAGTATGGACATTTTCCATATGGTGTACTAGGAAGTTTTTAATAGTGTTGATTGGTCTAGTACAAAGTAGCTTATACATGACCTAGCACTGAGACTATTTAACATTATCAGTTTCCACATTTACATTACCCAACAATCTCTCCTCTTATTTTTTCTTCAAATCACATTTTGCATCTTTCACACTGCTAATACACCATTTTGGTGTGTCTTTGTATTTATGCCATGGTTTTTACAGAGCATGGTGGGTTGGACACTATATATGGGTAAAATAATTTTTCTTAGGTTGTTGTTTTAGTTGTATTTTATGTAAATGTAATTATTTTTATTATAATATTTATGTCAAATATGAATTATTTAAATCATGACATGAATATTCCATTCCATTTTCGTCATAAACAATCAAAATTCCTTTTGAAAAGTTTGTATGGACTCAAACAAATATCTGCTCATAATGAAATGTTTAGTAATGAAGTTGTGACAAAGGTTTTAATTACAGTTGAAAAACGTATAAAATGGAATACATTTTTCACTCAAAATAATTAAAAACATGCTTTATTATTTTAGTTTCTCATATGGGCTAACTCACAGTTATTCAGGAACAAAGCCTCCAAGTAACTAGTCTATCACAGGGTGACATTTTGTGATTTTCTCAGCTAACTGATTGTGCATATTCAATAAATGCACAGAATAATCCTTCTTTCAGAAATTTGACTATCATTTTCAGAGAACTACAGCTTAAAGACTGAATAAGTGTCTTAATTTGTATTGGTCGTTACAAAAATAATTGAGTTTGTGATTTATCAAACTGAGATTTGATTCATGTTTCTTTAAAAGCCTTTTCTGCTGTTCCTTGCATGCATTGTTATTTCAGACTACCTTCTGAAAAACATTCCTGCCTCATATACTTGTAGTACAGTACCCCATGGCTGTTCTAGCCAGTTGTCTTATGGACATTTAAGACAATTATTTGTTGTAGATATCCAAGCCTCTCACAGAATAATCTACCTTGAGTATTCAAGATGACTGCCTGTAGCCAAGACCCTCAGAGAATCGAGCATTGTGGGTGTCACCAAGATGATCCCTGAGCTTCACAGAAACTACATTCTTGTTATTCAAGGCAACAGTTTGTAGTTACCCAAGTCACAAACTGTTTCAGCGTAACCCAGCTTTTGTCTTATTATATCATAAGGTTGAGTTTGTAATTCTCTTTTAAATTTTTGGTGTACACAGTTTGATGCTACTACTGGACAATAATATTGTATAGTGGTGTATTTGTAACACTGGGTTTGTATGTAGATGTTATTCATTCTGTCTGAACAGATGGCTTAAATATTCATTTTTTTTTAAGTATGTTTAAATCATAAAAGCAAAAATTTTTGTTTATTCCTAACATCTGATATAGTTTTTAGTGCCAGAAATTTTCAAGAAATTACATTGGTGTCATTAGTTATAGTAAACACACAATATTTCATATTTTCACAAATAATTGTTTTCAAGAAGTTATGTAATTCTTTCCAGAAAATGTTTGAAAATTATGAGAAGCCTAAAATGTTGCATCCTAGATTCCATTCACTAAATTATAAAAACATTTATTTTTAAGTTGGCTATTAAAAGAATTGTGATTTACAAATTATGATATTCTTGTTGTTAAAAAAAAAAATGCATTGATAACTTTAGTTTTTAAATTTGCTCCCTGATCTAACTGATTTTGTATTTAACATTCACAATGAGAAGTCCAAACAGATTTTAAATATAATATTTGGTACACACCCACATACACATTGGATTCAGCTGTTGTAAGAAAAAAAGAATTTAAACTAAAATACTACACAAAACATGTACATGTAATCTTTCTGTGGGATTGTGTGTTTATTGAGTGGCACCCATGGAATTCTCCTGAAATGTATGCATAAAAAATTCCTTTTAGTTTCAGAGAAACAAAAGTTCATGAAGTCTTGGTAATCATTGGTGTATAACAGGAAGGTGGTTTTAAGAACATTAGATAATTAAAGGTAGTATAAAACTGTACTGAGGTGGTGCTGCCAGACAGACAATACAATTGTATGGTAAATGAAAATTTGTGTGATACTGATAATACCTTAGTAAGAAAGCTTTGTGTGTTTGCTGTATAAATCTTTCTGTCAAATAAATCTCGAGAAGAACTGACAGTTGCATCTTTTTATTATTGAAGGTAAATGTACACACTTTTTTTCAGTTTTAAACTTGCACTTACATGTGAAATAACAAGCTAAAACGTGTATAAAAGTTGTATCGATAATTCTTGCAAATTACGACTAGTTTCAATTTTACCTTACTTTTGAAGAAAAGATACACCCTAGAATGCTACTCAAAAATGTGACATTTCAGGAGTACACATCCAAGTACGAATATCTACTGGAACCCACTGTAATGAAAGATACATATCCTCTAGATTATTGTTACATTTACAGTCTAAAAAATACACAATTTTTGTAATAAAAGTACTTATTTCAATTAAGAATACATCAAAATTACTTATCTTTGCTTGAAATCTTTCTGTTACCCACATTCAACACCCAGCTTTTAATGTCCTTCTGTGGTGTTTCACATGATTAATTAATTAACAGTCATTGGCCGCATAAGTGTCTTACAGGCTGAAGTTGAAAGGTCATGGGTTAAAGTAGGAAGTGGGTATAACTCAAAAAATGGCTCTTCATATCAGCCTTATTTATGGTGGTGAAACTTCAGCTGAGCTTTTGTGGTATTCCAGTAGTGGTGGCCATTTTTTTCACTGCATTCCTTCATAGAGAATGCTACTGCGCTCTCTCAGATACATAAGATGTTTGTGTGCTCTCTCCCACACTGTGTATATGTTGTTTTATAGAAAATTCAATAAAGTTTTTGGTGTAAAGACATGGCGCCATCTATGAATGTAATTAATGTGAACTTACATCAAAAGTAATAAATGCTCAATAACAGCAATAATAAGGGGTGGAGGGGATTGTTAACCCCCATTAATATGCCCCTTATTCCAAACTAGTATCCCACAAAGTGGGTTGAAATTGGCCCAACAACACAGGAGTTAGATAATGGACAGACACAGCTTTATGTGTGTGTATATATGAGAAGATATTACAAGTTAACTAATGTGTAAGAGAAATACAGACCAAAGCTCTTTCTGACCTGGATTTTTCAAATGAATACTTAAATCACATTTTGTTATAATGTCTGCACAAATCAGGAGGAGGCAAGAATTTTTAAACCTTGGAACCAGAACTTTCTCATGTAAACAAATATGAAACACAGATCGTGAATGGCTGTATAAATGTCAACTTTATTTAAGCTAAAGCTACATGCAAGATGTACTTTCTTTTAGCCATAATTAAGTGCAGTGTTTGGTAGTGTGTGTGTGGTTTTGTTGTTGTTGTTGTAAGACAGCATTTTCTAAATTATGAGGCATGCCTCCCAGGAGGGCAAAAGTAATTAGGGTAGAGTTACTGGTGCAATAATGCGGAATTAAGCATTTATTTTTATCAATGAAAATAATAAATAATTTCTGCAACACTTATAGCATTTTAATGTGTATATGTGTATTATATCTTGTCACTTAACTCACTGTTTCACTCATTTAAAAAAAGAGGGGAGACATGCAAGAAACCATAGTTATCATGGATGACCAAAGTTTAGGAATACTTGTGTAAGTAATTTTCACTATCAATTATCATTATTAGAAATTATTCACCTTTATATCCTTGTAAGCAGGATTTGCTATGTATTACTTATGGAGCCATAAGCCTTTACTTAATATATTTATAAGTATGTATTATCAGGTTCTATGATGATAGCGTCATTAAAAAGGCTGAGGAGAATAATGTTTATTTGAGGCATCATAGGGAAAGTACTGAGATGCTCCACTGATCATTATAAGTGCTTGGGAATTGGGGGGGGGGTGAATCTTAATCATCAAAGTGATGGACTGATGTAAAAAAAAAAATAATATTTAAAAATCTGAACAGTTCTATATTGACCCCATCTGTAATTGAAGGTGAACCATGATTTTTTAAACTGCACATAACATCAAAGAGCAAAATGTAAAACATTACCAATACTATTAGCATGTCAATAGAAAGATGCTAGAAATACAAACTTTTTATATTATTCAACTACCAATTAATAGTTTATAGAAACTATGTAAAAAAAAAAAGAGAAAACAAACACTTGCATTAAGATCCATTAACAAATGATCATGGCTTCTAAGGGAAAAAATAGATTCTTCAAGAAAATGTAAAGAAATTATTATAAATTAATGTAAGGGGGAGAATATAGTTAACAATTTATCCATATAACCTTGAAGAAATTTTGCCAAAACATTGCTCCTATTCGTTGTTGAGCATAAGTTGGCCCTGCAGTGGTAGAGCCCTGGATTTCAGAGTTGGTGAGCCCGATTCAAATCCATGTGATATAATAATATATTCTCCACACTTCCAGGTGCATTATATGAATTGCAGTCAATCCCTTAGCATGGGTGGTAGGATGCTGCTGGCTAGTTGTCTTCCCTTTAGTTAATAGTTTAAAAGTTAGAGACAGCAGCAGTAGGGTTAGTAGCTTTGCCATAAATACATACAGCTTAAATGTAAAAAATATACTGCTACTGAGTTTATTTGAAACACCTATTTATTTTTAACAGATAGTCACTGAAATAACAATGAAGTTTTTAGTAAGCAAATTATAATGTCACATTCCTAGACGAGTGAGTTTACAGGTATTATTCTTGGATCAAATATAGAAATGATCATGTTTGGTGAAGTTACATGTTAGTATAGAAATTGTTTTTTTCTTGAAATGAGCTTTAGATTAATTATACTCTTGTAATGACAAGTCTACAAGAATAGCAGATGTAACTTCAGCATGCAAATAATTTTGAAGTTTATGAATAATGTAAAAAAGTTTTCTTATAATTTTCTACGTTATTAAAAAAAAAAGTAGAAAAAATAATCCAGGGATATTAAAATACTGCAGTTATGGTACTGAACAGAATTACATTCATATGTTTCAAAAATAGGCTTGCAAGTTAATAGTGCATAAAGTTAAATGTTTATATGCAGATCTAACGAGCACAAGACAATAACATATCAGCTTAGTTTGCATTTTTAAATGTTGGTGTTAAAAGATGTAAAATTATAACATGCTCAAAAAATAAGTCATCAAGCCGGTTAGCTAAAATTGATGGTGATAGAAATTGGTCCTTGATTTTGTTTTGTGTATGTTTCACATTTAAGGATTTATTCATCCATAAGTTATTTGTATTATATATATATAAAAAAAAGAACTTGTAATACTCTGTTTCTTGTCATCTTGCACTTGTAAGCTTTAGTACACTACCAATACTTTAAATACTAACAGTACATTAAAATGAAAACAATAAACTACAACATAAAGTTTAAAATGATATTGTATAAGATACCCATACTGGACATCAAAAGTTCATGCAGTGGTTTTTATTTTACAAATATTATTACATAGTGTTATATAATTCAGAATGAACCGCGTAGTCCCATAAACATAGACAAATAAAAGTGATAAGTTGGTATTACGTTTAAATATCTTCAGGATTACATATAATTCAGAAATCACTATTTTAACTTGTCCAGTTAATTATAATGTCAAGCATCACATCAATAAGTTCTCAAGTCAGACACTGCACAAATTAACAAATTCTGAAAATTTTCATGCAGATGTGCCATTTGTGAATAAGAGTTTTTTTTTTTTTTTACTGGAGCTTAATTTTAAGAAAATTATGTATTCTTAAGCTATTTATCAATCTGTCTAAACCATTGCTTATGGAATATCTTATAGGCAATATGAAATATTTTCAATTTTCTTATTATTTCACTTAGAAATACTTGAAATAAAAAACAAATTGCATATGAATGTAGTCAGTTTGAAGTAGTAGTTACATTTGGCATATTACCCAGTGAAAGTTTTATTTTTTGTTGGGTAAATTACAATGTGAAAATGCTAATCAATATATTTTAATTTATTATAATTGAAACATTACAATTCATTTGATTGAAATGTATTGTATTAAATGTATGTTTCATTTTTATTAGTGATGTGTATGAATGTCTATAGTTTTACTTTGGAGAACATAAACTTTACTAATTAATACATGGGCCATTGCACAGACAGTGGTATAATGTGAAGGAAGAATAATATCATACTTATAGAATGTGAGATGAAATTAAAAAATCATTCAGTCAGTCAAACAGAGGAAGGGAGCCCAATTATGTAAATAAAAGTAAATTTTCAAAATACTTTAATCCCCAGTCAGATATCTTAGTATGTCGTAAATCCATAGACTAGAGAGCATAAAGAAGCAGTATTATGATGCATTTGTTTCAATTACATATTATTTCATCATCAAAAACTTTATTTTTTAAAATAATTAAAAATTGTTAACATTTTACAGGCCTATTGTAGAAACCATCAAATTCATCACTGCTTATGACATTATTCATGCCTTCCTATAAATCTCACTTGAGTGTTAATAAAGGTATATCAGATATTAATAGATTTACCCATATTACAAGACTGTACCTTAAAATAGTAGAAAAAAAGGGCAGGATTTAACTTACATATGGTAGATTCTTGATGTTAGAAAAACACAGGTTCAAGAAGTCTTGATAGAAATGAATAAAAACCCTATAGCCCAAGAGTTTGCCCTGAAAAAGAAAGGTCCACCTTTCAAAAGTGCTCAGGTTATAGGTTTTTTATTCATTTCTATATGGTAGATTCTAATGCTGAAGAATGCAATGTATCAATTGCAAACTTAGTTACTTGTATTAGCATAATGCACAAAAAAGTTCATACTGTTGATTGTTTAACTATCGTTTTGACAAATGTGAAGTTATACCTGTTTGTATTCAAAGCAGTATTGTACTAGAAAAAAAACAACAGCTGCTGATATTGTTTTTTTCTCATTTTTATGCTAACATATGATTAAGCCTGTGATAATGGCTCATCACCTGGTATGAATCTACTATTATACATATGCACACACATACATATATTTCAAGTATTTATTATTTTTATGAAATGTCTTGCAAGGGATTGTACTTGTTTCATTAAATAATTAGGTGAATGACTGCCTAAAATTAACTTAGGTAATTCTTAGTCATCACAGGCTCACCATCATGGTAAACCAAGTTTGATTCCATTTAGATCTCTCTCTCATAAAACACAAATTCTTAAAGTAGATAAACATCACCTACTGTTTCTATTTCTACAGAAGTATTGATGTCAGTAAACTTTCATTAGAAGGGTTATTTAATTACTGGAAATTTAAAAGTACAATATTGAGAATATTGACAGGTGTATTCAACAATTTAATTCATTATCACATATGAAATCTAGTGTTGTTTTTTTAAGTTAAGTATTACCATTATCAAGCAAATTTTTTAAACTTTAAACAGTGATGATTTTAAGCATTCACAACATAGAAATTGGAATAATATAGGAAATGAAAAAACTATTAATTTTTGAAAACACTTATAATTTTCATACATAAAGTATCTAGATTATTTAATTGGAATGAAAGGCCTATACAGCTATTTCTTTAAACCTGAATTTTTGTCTCAACAAAAGTAACTAAAAATACAGTATAATGTGTACTGTTTCACATTTTTATTTGCACAGTTATGCTTCCTTGCTATGTTTGACAGATTTAATTGCATTTGCAAAGGCATTTTTCTAATTTGTAACTCCACATATATAACAATGGTACTATCTTTCCTTCACATGATGGCCCATATATTGATAAATTATGTTTATGCTTTCCATGCTTAAAATGGTTTTTCAATGACCTACAATATGAAGTATGAATGTTACTGAAGCAACTGAAACCTATTTAATTAATTTGAACAAATATTTTAATTAAAAGTTATTTCATTCAGCATTTTTACATGGAAAATACTAAGTAGCAAAAGATTGTTAAAAAATTTTAATTCTTTTAAGATATGGTAAATAGTTAAATGAAGGAAGTTAAAGGAAAATCTTGATAAATATTTGAATTATAAAGGCTGACTTGAGTTTCTTGGTGTTTAATTTAGTGGATGGGATGGCCTAGGTGGGCCAAAAGGTCCTTTGCTGTCCTTTAATGTTATATGAATAGAAGACCATCACCCCAAATAATGATTTGGCTTTTTTCCCCTCCAGTTCCAACTCTCAAAGCATCACTTTATATGCATAGCACTGATAAGCAAGTTATGGGCTACAGCCTGTATATGAGATCTAGCAGGATGAAATGCCATCTTTCAGTCCTTGATGATGCATTCAGTACAGATGTAAAGTTTCAGTTCATAATTTTTTCTTAATTTTAGGCACTTCACATTATCCAATTAATATAATCGTCCAGTACATTACCCACAATGGATTTGGGTACAAAGTTGAAGGCTTGAAATGTCTTCAACACTCATACAACCAGTGCTGCATCCAGGAACTACTACTTATTGATTGTCTGTCAGCTCTTGTAATATTTTGTTAGCTGTGACAGTTGAAAATCTTCATAAACCTTATAAAGCAGTACACCATGGATTGTATGTAAATTCAGTGACGACATGCCCATTACCATCTGGGGATATGCTATCCCAATACTTTTGTTAATACATAGTGTGTGTGTGTGTGTGTGTATGCACATATTTACATGTATATGTGTGTGTGTGTTAAACATTAACCTCCATATAAGTGTTCTAATTGGTAAAATCCTTAATGTAACATGATCCTGTGTGTTTTAAAGAATTCACCAAAACAGTTATAAATCTGTAAGAAACATAATAAACAGTTAGTCCTTCTATATCTCTTAATGAGAAGTTAAAAATAAATTACAAATGATAACACATCAAATTACTTATAACTCATGTTTTCGTTACAAAAATCATTGTATGTCAGTGAAAATGTATTTTTCTGAAACTGAGAAATTTCTAACCAATGGTGCAAACTGCAAACATGTTTTGACAAAATGCATCAAACTTTGAGTTTTTAAGCACGAGTAACTAAAACATTAAATAACAATTTTTAGCATTCCATTCAGTAAAATTGTACTTGAAAGAACATTAATACTTAAGCACTGTTAATATTTTGCAATATTTGCATAACAACTGTAACAATGCTTTTGTGCAAATAAATTTTTTTTAAGACAGTTACAGGTTCTAAATATTACATGAAGTTTGAATTTGTTTTGTTTTTTAAGGTTTAATTTGACTCCATAACAATATTTTCATATTAGTATATAAAAAAAAAGTTTCGAAAACTAATAACTTCTTTATTATAGTAGTTCTACCTTACAATAAAGAATTTTTTATTGAGGTTTATCTTTAACAGATGATGACATTGAAAGCTTATATATTATTTAATTTTGTGGCTTGTGATGACTTGAGAATGTTTTACATTTTTATTTCAAATGTCCTAAGTAACTGAGCAGCAAACATCTTGTGAGATTTGTATGATAATTATTAATGGAAGAAGTTACCTTAATAGACAGGTATATTAAATATAATTGCAATGCAGTTATTCAGAATTATATGTAAAGCATATGTAAACATTATACAATGTGTCATATATTCTTCCCCAAGTAGTAGTAATAGTATTTTTTACAAATCACTAGTGTAGTGATTTTTGATATCTATCACATTAAATTCAAGCGTGACTCTTTATAATGAACATCATTTAGTCAGAATCAATTTTCAGAAATATTGTTTCAATTTCTTGTTGACTTTACAGAAAACTTTGCTTAGTGTTAAGTTTTCAATGGTAACTCCAATTCCTTTTTTTTAAAGTTAGCCCTAAACATTCCAAAAACATATGTTTCTGTTCATGTTTGACATTGATTTGATGGTGATGTCAACTTTGACTTTGTGTAAATAATGGTGATTTCATGGATTTGGATTGAACAGAAAATCATTTAGGCAAAATTTATATTTTTTATTAATGAAACTATAGATTATCACCAGATGAGACATCATTATCAGCATCTATCAAACAGATGGTTAACTAATCTGGTCTCATCAGATAAGAAACTATAATCTTGATGTAGTAAAAATTCTAGTTTTCTTTATTTTACAATCACTTTATTTCAAAACATTTTTTTATTACATGATTGTCAACCACAGTATTTCCTTAATGTATTTTTTAAACAGCCTTGAATATGACTGAATGATCACTTTGTTTTCTTTCTCTCAGTGAGAAATCTGTTTTAAGTAATTGATTAATACAGGGTTAACTGATGTACTTGTCCTTCTTTGTTAGGAGGCTTGTATAGTGATATATATATATGTATATACACACACACAGTATTTCATATTTCTTTGCTGGTATTTGGTATACACTCAAAGTCGAAATAAGATGTTATTTTAGATGTTATATACATGTATGGTGATAAACTCTTAAATGAGAACATATTTCTTTGTTAAAGCTAGTGTCACTGATGAGTAGACAATACTGGAAAATGGTTTATTTCTTATCAATTCAATGAATATTTGATGTTTTGTGTACTTGTACAATGCTGTATTTATAAAAACTGTACAAAATCCAATATTAAGAAAAATATAATTGTTGAAAATAGAGGGAATATGCACCAATATTTCAAATCTTATAAATACATAAATATTTTATACATAAACTTCAAATTTCAACAAATTGAACAACTTTTATTATGTTAGCATGAAAACCTCATTTAGTCACATAATTCCTCATGATTACATCCATAACACAACCAGAAAAATAGGAAAAGTAATTCCTGAAAATATTTTTTAAGTCTCTTACCAGAGTAACAAATCTTTACAAGAAAGTTAAATTACTGAAAATTATTTTACAATTCTATCAAAATACATACCTGAAAGTCTCCACTCCTCCTGTAGACTGTGCACCATGAGCTGAAAACATGTTCAGTTAGGTACAAAGCTTCATATCGTTTATACATAAAGAAATACTTGATCTCTTTGGTCTCATACGCTAGAACCAATAGGTCAAGTAGATTTGTTTTTCAAGGCACCCATTTGTTCAACACTAGTTGATATGATGCTTGTCTTCAGTTTTTGGATACTTATTGGTACAAAACAAAATCATAGAACCCTTAATTTGACACATCCAGACTTCTTTTCATGCAGTGGAAATGCCAGTGTTAGAAATATAAAAATATTAGTTGAAAATAATTACATGTTTAGATCAATCTTCAAAAAGTATGGTACTGTTGAACAAAACTGAAAATTCACCACAACATAAACCTTGCTTATAGCTATCATGTGCAAAGATACAGCCTACCACCAGCATTCTTGTCAGGGGATCTTATGTTTCAAAAATAGTTGTAAATAAGAGACTGGATGCAAATCTGTTTACTCTCTATTTCAAGTTACACAGTCTGAGTATAGAAGAATTACTTAAAAATAATTTTAAGTTCTATAAACAATTTAGAGAGCTGGTTGGGTCTTTCAAATTTAAATAACTTATATTTTTGTATACCACCCCTCACCCCAGTGTACAGACATTTACTCCATTTGTTTATTCACTTGAATCTATTTTACAAAATATATAAAAAATGGTCATGCTTAGAAATTTGAGTAACTTGGGTGAATTTAGAAATTTACTTGGAAGCTCATATCAGATTTCAGATATGTTTTTGAAAATTAATTTTTGATTTTTCTAGTTGTGTTATGAATACACAGACATTCAAAATTTGTACATTTTGGTGAAATATGAGTTTTGTATAACAAGTTTATTTATAAGGCTTTGTATTGCTGGTAATATAAAATTAATATATTTTACATACCCCTTCTACTTGAAACAAATATAACTTTATTAATAGGTTTATTATTACTAGTAAGTAACAAATAATAAGCACAATCTCAGAAAAATGGCCCTCTGATTTAGTTGATGTGGAATGACTCAGTTATATGTTTTTTCAGTCTATTTTATTTTGTTTTTCAATCAATATTAACTTGTAAACAAAGCAAACTACCTATGTAGATTAGAACTAAAAATCAACCTAGTAATGAGTATAGCTAACTAAATATATTGTTCTTACATTCTTACTTATAAAGATAGAATGCATTTTTTTTTATCTGTTGGATATCTTTGCCATTAACCAGCTGTAACTCATGATTGTAACTTACTGCACTTTTAACATTTATCAACTTGACCACAAAATAAATCTAAAACTTAACAAAGCATTTTTATTAAGTAATGTCACTATGGTTAGTTTTAACTTCACTTGAATGGTTTGTAACAAGGAAAAATGCAAAACGTTTGTAATTTCTTATAGTTAAACAATTTTTTAATCAAAATAATTCAAACTGAAGGAATATTTTTGGGCACACTGACATTTTCAAATATTTTAGTGCAACTTTTCTGTTGAATAATTCAAACACTGATTTCTACTTTTGCTTCCCAAAAAATACTCAACTTCTTTGATTGTTAGAATGATTTTAAACAGAGGAGTACTAAAATTTAGATACATCAGTTAATTACTTTTTTAACTAACTAATTGATATAAAAAAGTTGGAAACGGAACAAACAGGAATTTAAGTACATTACTTCTGATGGTGTAACATAAATATGAATAAGATCAGAAAAATTAGAATTATTAGCACCTTTAAATAGTTTGACATTGGTTTACTCAACAGAAGAGAATGAAGTCACCTGCTTTACCTATACATTAGCTTTATATACAGTAATTATGACATGTCAAGAAAGCTCTACACAGACAAAAAATTAAGCTGCCTATGTACAGTATAATCAGCTGTACATACAGATATTGAAAATATTAATATCAAGCCTTTTACCACTTATTAAATTGGATACCTAACATGTTATAAAACATTCTAAAGCACCAAGGATGTGTTAAATATTTTTAATCATTACTAACCAAAAAAAAAAATGTTCAACTAATAAAATAAAATAAATTTTGGAGGAAATAAAATTGTTTGATTATATATTTGTACTCCAAGAAAAACTACAAAGAAATTACAAGTAATAGTTAGCTGAGGTGAAATATTAGTGTATAAGCTAGTACAATATCAGCAAGAAATTTTCTACAACAAATGAAAGCCTTAAACTTCACTAATAAATGCTTCAAGGATGATGATAACCTTGCAAAATTTTGTCTATCAACCACAAGCTAATAGTTCTTGGTAATTAGTATTATTAATAGCCTTTTATTTTTCATAATGATAATAGGTATAGATAACTTACATGATTTACATATACTTAGGATTAAATATCAATGGAACTCTTTTTTGCATCTTGCTTTTCAGCAAGAGAACACTTACCACTTAGATGACAGTCTAGTCTTAAGTTGTTGTTAAAGGCCTTGTATATTCATCTTTCATGAATAGTTAGCAGTTTTCCAGTGGTGATAAATTGTACTTAGTTGCTTGGATCATTTTCAAAATCTCTCTTCTGGTAACTAAGAGAATTTCCTTTCTTTACACTTGAAGGTACAGGCATTTTTAGTTGTGTAGACCTACTGTAGGAACAAATAAAATGTTTAATTGGTTCAGCTTTTTATGAATGGATTCCAATAAAGAAATTAAAACTACTACAGTACAATAATTCAAACACTGATTTCTATACTTTTGCTTCCCAAAAAATACTCAACTTCTTTGAGTACTAAAATTTAGATACATCAATTATTTTTTTAACTAACTGATTAATATAAAAAAGTTTTATTTCGTAAACATGCCACCAGTAAACTACATCAACAGTAGATGTATAACTTAGAAGCCCCTGAATGTATTTGCATACTGAAACACACCATCAGTTTTCACCCATATACATAACAATATAAAATAGTAAGTTAATAAATATAAAAATAAAAGTTCTGTTAGCTACACTATTTTTTAACAGTATTATGAATAGTAAATAATGCTATGCTGTAAGCTTGATGTAAACTATCAAGTTCTTGTGTTTACAGATCAAAATGATAATAAATATACTAATATACTTGCTATCAACTATTGAATTCTTGTGTTTACAGAACGAAATGATATTAAATATATGAATTTTGTCTACATTCTGCTATATAGCACATAAAAAAAGAAGAAATATAGACAAATTAAACACTGGTAACTCAGTGTTTTACAGTTTACTACACAGTCTTTACATGGGAAAAAAAAGCCTTGGTAAAAACACAGATACTGCTTTTACTAACATTTTCCTATCAATTTTCATCAAAATTTATCAGAATTTGAACACACACACATTTAGGTGTTGGTAGAAGTTATATTGCATAATTTCATCAGAGGACATATAGGAAAGAAACCTTGGAATAACAGTTATCTTTTTTTTTATTATGAGTGGATCATCAAAATTGATATTCTAAACATTTCTGTAACATATGATTGCTACTGATTTTTAAACAACTGATTCTTTAGCAAATTGCATAAATTCATAAGTTGCTTATTCTTTATTGATATCTTAAGCAGAAAAGAGATGGCACATGTAACATCCTTCTTAAAGATGGTGCTTTCTTGGGTTTAAGTTATTTTCTTATATGTCTTGTGGCTAAAGAAAGTACATTGGAGTACTCAAATGTCAACCTCGGACTGTTCAATCATACAAAGATGTATTTTAGAAAATAATTTATCTTTCAACTGGCCTGCATGCCAGTGGGAAAATGTTTGGTTTAAATGTCTGATTACAAAGTAAAAAAATTCCTAATTTAATGAATAATTTTATTTTTTCATTAATTAATTCACTTAAGAAACTGAATTTGCACATTGAATAGTACACATTAAGAGCATATAAACTATGAATAAATTATAAATAAAGTATGGAATAACTCTCCTATCTCTTTTGACGATTCATTAAATGGAAATTCCTGAAAAATAGTAAAATATAATAAACATGTTTGATATGATGGTATCCATGGTTTGTGATTATACACTTATAACAGAAAGCTAAGCTGAAACTATTTCATACAGAAATATTTTTTTAAGTGGTAGAAAATGGGAGCTTTTGATGACATACTTTGTTAAGTTACAGTCAAGATATTTTAGAGCTACATGTAATTGTACAAATTATATTTGCAAAACTCGATAGTAACCATTTATCAAATTAAGTCCAACAAGATGCTGTATTGCTTTTCATCATGGAGAGAATTATTACCAATGTAACTTTATGGGTTAACCTTTTTTTAATGAATTCTTATTACTGATAGTAATTTATAATGAAGTTTTCAATGAAGTTAGAACTTACACTTGGTTAAATAATGACTAAGAAATGTTTCTTCTCTTAAAAAAAGTACAAGGAATCAAAGATTTCTATATTTCAGTATTGCTAAAGGACATTCATGATCATTTATCAAGTTTTAATATAATAAGATTCAGTGACTGCGTGTATCACATAACTCCTCCTAAACTGCTGGTCCCACCAACTTCTAAGTGGTGCCACATGAATCATCTCGGCCTTTGAGGCTTGCACAAAAATAAAACTTCATCCAACCCCATAGAAAACCCGAGTGTTACACGAAAACACTTTTAGAGGGATTCCACCAAAGCAAACCCCATTGATTTACATTAGGGCATGTAAATAGGTTGGCCTACTAATTACTGTTCATAACTTTGTTAAAGAAATTAAATTTTCACTGAAGCAGCAATGATCATTGAACTGAAAAAAGTGCAAAATAATAGTTCAAGCATTAAATTTGCATTATAGCAGCCCTGTAAATGTGGGCCGTAGGCTCATGAGTTTGCTAGTATTCTAAATAATCACCAGAACTATACATATACCAACAATTAATCTTTACACACCGTAAACATATGAGACATCCCTGCTTGATGCACATTACTGTTATGTATTATAATGTTGGTGGGATTAAAAGATAATCCACAAACACATTGATAATAACATATTTATTTTGTAATTTAGTGTGAGTTTGGGAGGGGGAGGGGGGGCCTAACTGAGATTAAGTGAAGATAAAAGATGGAATTTCTCTCTCTAATTTTTATAAGATATTTGCTTTTCCTTCACTAGTTAACCAACAATTTGTTATTTAATGACTACCATCACCTCCTGACATTTACTTGTACAACCCAATACACATTTGTGGAGTTTCCATTAAAATTGTTGGATTTAATCTGGAAGGCTAACTATTAATATTTACATCATTAACATGCTACAACAGATGATCAATTAATTTTTGCATATTGCATGTCTATTTTTGATCAATAAAGTGAGAAGGTGGCCTTTTAAAAATCACATACCTATTTACAAAAACACACAAGAACCTACAACTCCACAACATTCTTGTATACCACTTTCTCGGTAAAATTCCAGCTTTATAATTTCTTGCTCCAATATCCTCCATAAATACTTTCTTGTTTTTCCTGTTTAATTTTTTTTTCTTTTTAGTAATTAACACTAGGAAACAAAACTTTATTTTTAGTACTCTGTAAACACTGCAAAACATAATTTAAATAAATAATATTTGTGTACATGACAAAAAACAAGTTCTTAACTTGTCCGGTGACCAATTTGATCGCTTAAACTGACAGTCCATAAGTTGTTTTCTAACCATTTACACACTTGGTCTTGATGAACACCCTTTGGCTTTCTACGTCTACTTTTCCTCAGTATTTTACAACACACTATTGATCCTCTTTATCACTATACATGGATCTCTCAGCTTTGTTTCAATTTTATTAATATTCTTTCTATACTCTTCAGGCTCTATAACCATACCATATCTACATGCTCGAGTCATTTTATCATCAACACTACCATATTATGGTCTCTTCATTTTGTCAGTGACAGAACTCAGCTTCCCACAGGGGAGTATCAGTAGCACTCAGCTTCTCCAAAGCAATCAGTAGCTATGTGCAGGAGAAGTTAATTTAACTGTGTGATTGTATCTCTGTATTAGCTCATTTTCTCTGTGTATTGCTTAGATATATTCAATAAAATTGTTTAGAGAGACTTCAGTGGCTAGCCTGATCTTCAGTTTTCTGTAAAAGAAACATTACCACTATTTACAGTCCACCCAATTCTTCTCTAGCTTCATCATTGGCTATGTACAGGAGAAGTTAATTTAACAGTGTGTGATTGTATCTCCGTATTAGCTCATTTTTTATGTGTATTGCTTAGATATATTCAATAAAATTGTTTAGAGAGACTTCAGTGGCTAGCCTGATCTTCAGTTTTCTGTAGAAGAAACAGTATCACTATTTACAGTACACCCAATTCTTCTCTAGCTTCATCATTATTGTATGTAGGAATTTTTGCATTCTTAAATTTATATCTGTACTTGAAACACTGGCTTCAGCAAATTGCATGTTTTTTTAATTGTTATAGTTACTTGCAAATCTTCTTAGCCTGCAATTTCTGGTACTTATAATAAGAGTACTAGTAAGAGTACATGGGCATGCCAATATTGTGAATGAGAACACAATATTGATTTATTTGGTAGTGCTCCATTGTTTATTTACCAACCATTTACAGGTTAAGTGTTTAACATAAATGCTGCAGTACTGAATAAAATGTTTGGTTCAGACATTTCTTAATAAAAAAAAAAGTCTGAAAGATATATTAAATTCATGTGACCTATGTAATGCAATGTTCTTATCTTAGAATTTACTAGATATTTTTAAGTGTAACACCTTAGAACTTTAAGTAAAAAAATCTGTAGACCGTTTACCTAACTGTACTAAAAATTGGCTTGTGTCTGTTTGTCTGTGACAAACATTTTCCAACTTCCTGACCTTTGACCATCATTCAATTTTTAGGGGTTTTAGGAATGCTTTAGAGGGATTCTAAAATCCCCTACTTTGTTAATTTTCTCCCTTGCTATTGCTTTAATATTTGCAAATTACACCCCTCCCCCCATTCCTTAATCCACAGGAAGTGAACAAAAACAAAATAAATTCTGCACCTGTTGTGTGTAACTTTGCTAGCTCCAAATAATACAAGTATCACAGGTTGTTTTATTAGAATTCAATGTCTTATCTCTTAATATTTTTTATAAAATGTTTTGTTAACTTAACACATATTATTTTAAAATAACTGTATACCAAGTTGGCACGGGCTCTTGAATAAGAGCTCTTTATTTTAAAAAAAATTTAAATTAAGTTTTTTTGAAGGAAAGCAGAGATGATATGAAATATTCTGTACAATAACCTCAATGTAAAATAATTTTGAATCATACCATTTTTAACTAATTTACTACACTATAACCCTTACAGCATCTTCAGGTCATAACAAGATTGTATATAATGTCAAATGGTACTACAAAACAAGTCATTACTTAGGTGATTCCATTTATACAATGCATATTATCACAGTAAGAAACATGATGTTAGTTGGGATTCATTTGAAGCTCAAGAACTAAATGAAACTCACATGGATTTGCAAAATTCTTGCTATGGTTTAAATTAACGAATAGAATAAGAATAAAAATTTTATGTTACCTACAGGTAATGAATAAGGGTTTGAGATCAATGACAAACAAAATATAAGTCATCTTTAAAATAAATTGTTTTATGGAAGGAAAACAGTTTGAAATAATTATACTGTTTCATAAGTAGCCAATTACTTTGTAAATATTGGAATTTATCAGCAAAAAGAAAAATTATTTGGCAAATTTTTTTAGCACAACCCTGCTTTGATGCCAGATTTACAACAGAAACTAGACTATAATTTCACGTGCATCAATTAAGACTTTCAATAATGAAATATTCACAACATTAAACCTTTCATGCATTAGGCTAAGATACTTTGATATAATAATGCAAGTTCTTGGCATTGTACATCTTAAGCCTTGGATTCTTCCCTACATGTATATATATACACATATATAACCTGCCTTGTATTATACAGTAGTTTTCGAGTCAGTAAATTTTCATAAAATAAGTTAGTTCTTTCAAAAATGGAAATTATAGCAAAATATTAAATCTACCTATAAGGATTGGCAACAATTTACTTCATTAGCACATGCAAGAGCTACTGATTTGTTTACTAACATTTCTACTCAGTTACTGAGACTGACTAAAAGGCAAACAGTAATACAATTGGTAACAATATCACGCTTTTATTAATAGGCAAGTGAACTTTCATAATTCATATGCACTACAGATTGAAAGTTTAATGTTATTATTAAAACATATCATACTTATTATAATTACAAATTATGTGAATAAAATGTTATAATCTGTGTTTTCACGTGCAAATTTACTTATCAAAAGCCAACATTTATGACATCAACAGTTTCCTGATTTGATCAGTTATTTCAAATTCTAAAAGAATGCACATTCGACAATTCTGTTTCTGCCTGCTTATTAACAAGAAACTAAAAACAAAAGGTAAAATAAATAAACAATTTAAAGACAGTTTTATGTTGTGAATATTGTTTTTAGGATAATGAACTCTAGAAAGACGAAAAGAATTAAGAAATTTGGTTTTAAAATCCATAGAATAATACAATCAAATTATAATGATTTTGCAGTAGTTTTATTTAAGATTACCTTAAAAACATAGGTAACTAAGTGCACAGATAGTGAGATTGTTACAGTTTCATAAAAAAAATGTAATTAAAATGCAGTTTTGTGGTATATAATAATCATCAGACTATTCCATGTAGCAATAATAAATATATATATATCTAAAAAGCTGTTTTGTTGATGTTACAAAGGTTGCATCTTCAAAATAAATATTTATGTGTTATCACTGCCATTTAGCTCTATCCATACTTTAACTTATTAAATTGAAACTCAGTACTCCATAAATGCTTGTTTAATGAAAATCTAGGAATTCTATATTAAAAGGTTTTTAGTTCCCAGGATGAAAAAGAAATGAGCATGGGTGAGAAGAGTTCTATATTAAATGCAGAAATCTGTACTGATAAAGAAAAAATTAATTTTTAAAATTGGTTCATCTTTCACATTTTGTTTTGCTTACTTGAGTCATCTTTTTTAATACACTTGCACATATGCACAGTAATTTATTCTACAAGCCTAGTACCAGGATGATAGCACATAATGTAACAACGTCTACAATCAGAACAACTGCTAAAATTTTTACAATAATAATTACAATTAATAATAAATAGTCTAAATTATTAGTAACAGGCAAACTACAAAATGACCATTCTACCCTAAGTCATTCATTGGGTACCTCATGTTTTGGCAAAGTTTAAAGGAAATATTTGTTAGCAAATGCTTGAAAAATTTCATTTAATGTGGAAACCTATGAACCCCTTTAACTTTTTCATTCCAGTGCTCATTAATGAATATTTTGCTTAAATAATGCTTTGGTCATGAATTACTCTCTGTAGAACTACATGTATTATGTGTACTCATATAGGAAAAAAAAATTATTACTATTGTTA